CCCAGGGATGGACCCTGCAACCCAGTACACACGTCCTTGACCGGGAGTCGAACCTAAGACCATCAGGAGAGGGAACAAGCGCTGTAAACATTGAGCCAACCAAGACTGTAGTCTGTCTAAAGCCCTCTCGTGGGTTGAGTGCTGAGCCCCAAGGAGACGAGTGCACAATAGGAGCCTCCGCACATGATCGGTATAAAGAGGGGACACGTGTACGTGGAAAAGTATTATATTCATTAAAAACGAATCTCTATCGAGCAGGTGATAGGCAAGTTTTGCCACTGACACGCCCCCCCCAGGCCCTCCTTCCTCTTTTCAGTAAAAGTGCAAGTCAGCATCTTACCGCACACACGATTGCAAGCTGCCCTTTGCCAACCCCCCCGCCACCCCCCAAAAAACACCAAACTCATAAAAGAGTCATCTCCTTGTCTCAGAAAGCCATCGCTTAGCAAGTTGCTATTGCTCATAGGGCACACACTAAAGATACTAAAAACGGAGGATCAGAAAGCATTTCAGAGGCACGAGGACGCTAAACATCACCGATGAACAGCATTGACCTTGGTGCCGGACAGACCTGGGCTCCAGGCTCCGCTCTGCCACCTCGTGTGACCTTGAGGAAAACCACTGAGCCAGGCCCGCCCTCCTTGTCTCTCAGTGGGAAGAATCACACTGACTCACAGAGTTTACCAGGACATGGCCTCTGTGTGATGGCCACGAGGACTCGGGGCAGAGCCGGCCACGGCACCATCCACTCTCACTCCGGAATTTGGGATTTAACAGTTTGCGAGGTTACGTAGACGTTTCGTGGCGTAACTAACGGTGAAATAAACCCTGGGGTCTCTACTAGGAAGGTGGGGTCATATCAGTGAGGTGTTCCACCAGGGGTTCTGGCCCCCACTGTGTCTGGACCCCAGCAGTCGGGGGAAGGCCTGCAGACGGGCATCTCAGCATTGGGGGTGATAATCAGTTTACAGGTTTGTTAGTTTTTTCTCTTTTTTTTCAGTTTATAGGTTTTTGAAGGCAGCATGGTCACAAATACAGTCTCCACTTTGACATGACGTTCAAAGGCGTTCCCAAGTTAAGACTAACAGCCATGAGCCGTGTGAGTGAGTTAGGGAGTTGCTATAAACAACTAATGTTACCTTGGGCAACTTGTAAGTCGGTGCTATTGCATCAAAATGCAAAAAGAAGGCTAGGCCTGGAATACCACCAGGACGTCAGTAGTCACTCAATACCGAAACCCTTACCAAGCAGGTTCTGCAGTCAGAACCCCGTAAACTTTTCCAGAGCGAAAGGAGAGCGCTGGCCATAAAGCGCAGTGAGTTGTGGGTTCACGAAATGATGCAGCGAATACAGCACCGGGGGTGCCACAACATGGGCCAAGGGCCAGCAGCCTCTAGTTGTGGAGTGAGATTTTTTGGGGGTTATTAGTCCTCAGGGTATATTTTTCCCGTTGATTTTCTTTTTAAATATATTTTTATTGATTTTTTTTTTTTTACAGAGAGGAAGGCAGAGGGATAGAGAATTAGAAACATCGATGAGAGAAACATCGGTCAGCTGCCTCCTGCACACTCCCTACTGGGGATGTGCCCGCAACCAAGGTTCATGCCCTTGACTGGAATCGAACCTGGGACCCTTCAGCCTGCAGGCCGACGCTCTATCCACGGAGCCAAACCGGTTAGGGCTCCATTGATTTTCTTAGAGTGGAAGAGAGAGACAGAGAGAGAGAACAAAAAACAATACAGAAACATCCGCCTGCCACACTCCTCTAGCTGCCCCTTCGCTTGTAGAGATAACTCGGTTGGGGAGATCTTTGTTTCTTTTCCCCCCAACAGTGAGGCATTTTGGCTGGTTGACAGCCATTCAAATAAAATGCACATTAAAAAGTACTGTATGGTCAGGGCTCTAATGAGCTTGTTACAGACTGTAACACCAACAACCGGTCACAGACCAGGAACAAAATTGTTCTCATCGGCAAGTGTGTTATTTCACTGTCACATCCAAGCTCACCCGTTGTGAAGTGCAGAGAATAGCAGGTAATTCTTCATAACGGCAGCTACCCTCTACGTGCTGTCGATAAATGTAAGCTCTTATGGAAGATACCATTCCTTGCTCTGAATCTAACATCAAATAGCTCCGAATTAGCTTTTTAACTTCAGGCAGCTATTTCAGAATGGAGTGAGTCATTGAGTTTAGAACATAATTTTAGAAGCACATTCATGTCAAAGGGAGGATGTCAATAAAATGCACATTAAAAAGTACTGTATGGTCAGGGCTTTAATGAACTTGTTACAGACTAACACCAACAACCGGTTCCATCTTTCAGGGCTGTTCTCACGACTGCAGGCTCCCGTTCCGACAGTGAGAGCCTTTTCCACCCCCCAGTCCTCACCTCCTGTGGCCGGTGCTGCCGTGTGGGCCCTGGGGCGGCTCAACCATGTGGCCGTGGCCGTGCCGGACCTGGAAAAGGCCCGGGCGTTTTATCGGGACGTTCTGGGGGCCCGGGTCAGCGAGGTGTCCCCTCTTCCTGAGCACGGGGTGTCTGTGGTTTTCGTCGACCTCGGGAACACCAAACTGGAGCTGCTTCACCCACTGGGAAAGGACAGTCCGATCGCGGGGTTTCTGCAGAAAAACAAGGCCGGAGGCATGCACCACGTCTGCATTGAGGTATTCAGTTTCCTTTAGGCTTGGCGTTTCACGTTTCTCTCCTACAGAATGTCTTTTGCTTCTTGAGACTGATACGGTCACTGTCTTCAGAAATTTTGTATGAAGTTCTTTTTTTGCTAATCACCTGCTGATATTTTTCCATTGATTTTTAGAGAGAGTGGAAGGGAGGGGGAGAGACAGCAAGAGAGAAACATCAATGTGAGAGAGAGAGAGACACATCGATTGGTTGCCTCCTACACCCCACACCCTGACCAGGGCTGGGGATGCAGCCCGCAACCGAGGTACATGCCCTTGACCGGAATCGAATCTGGAACCCCTCAGTCCTCGGGCTGACGCTCTACCCACTGAGCCAAACTGGCCAGGGCATGAAGTTCTTTAAAGGGGATTAGTAGTAGCATTGTCCCACTCAAAGATGGATCCGTAGATGTATTTTCTTTTCCTCTAGAAAACTGCAAATAATAATATAGTTTATCAAATCTGGACTCAACAGCTTCTACAAAAGGCACTGAAGCCCAGACAGTGTGTCTCGGTGGTTGAGCATCAGCCTATGAACCAGGAGGTCCCAGTTCGCTTCCCAATCAGGGTACCTGCCTGGGTTGTGGGCTCAATCCCCAGTGGGTGGCGTGCAGGAGGCAGCCATTCGATGATTCGCTCCCATCATTGATGTTTCTCTCTCTCTCTCTTTCCCCCTTTGCCTCCCTCCCTCTCTGAAATAAATAAAAACATATTTTTTAAAAAGTCACCGAAGTTGGCCAAAACAGATTTGAGTTTCCACTCTATGATTTATTGATCACATGTGACCTCCGATATAACAGGAATACAGCTGCTTTCGCTATCAGAAGGCAATTAGAAGAAGCAGTGAAAAGACCTGGTGAGGTAAGAGGTCTCATATCCGTGCTAAGTATTCATGGAATTGTTTCCTGTCCTTAAGATTCTGCGAACTTCTTTCTTATTACAAAAGCAACACATTTTCAGTGACTGACTGGTTTTCCCACATCTCCTCAACTGTGTCTGCTAGCAGTTCCTGAAGAAAACATGGCACTTCCTCCTGGGAGCCTTCCTCAGCAGGTGCTCCTGCTGGAATATCAACAATAGCAGTTACACTCCAGTTTGGTTTCTCCTGATAGGAGGAATGTCACAGGTAGGCCTCTTTCCGAATCCGGAAGAGAGGCGCGTTGATTCCAGGGATTGGCTCAGTTCATATTGCAGACATACTGCTATCTGAGAACCTACTGTGCGCGCGCTACTGAGGACTTGGTTCAGCAGCGAACAGGCAGGGACCGTGCCTGCAGTGGGAGGGGCAGCCGGAGCGGGCAGTCTGCCCTGTGATACGCAGAATTCATGCGCGCGTCTCCTCACTAACAGGTGAGGACAGGTTGGTTGCCGTGGCAGGTCCAGGAGGTGGGAAGGCCCCTGTGAAGGGATCCCCAGGGCACAAGAGGAGGAAGCCCTTCTGGGCAGAGGGAGAAGCAGGTGGAAAGGCACTGAGTTACCAGAACAACTGCCAGTCCCCCAGGACGCCACGGGCATTGTTTTCTGTATTTCTTATAGCTACCCCAGGAGGGCGCCGTTCTCCCCATCGACAGGTGAGGAAGCCGACTGAGAATAGCTTGCCCATAGTCACATGACTAGTGAGTGGCAAGGCTGCTAACTAGTTTTGTCCAAACTAGATTTGTTCTGATTCCAGCGTCGGCACTGCTGGTCGGCGCCATCGTTGTATGAGCTGAACTTAAAATCCGAGGTGGGGAGCATAAGATGTTCGGCAGGGGACTTGCAAGGCCGCCTAGTTCACCGCTCTCCCTGTCTCAGAAGGTGGATTTTGGCTGCAGGTCTGTATTGCAGTGGACTTGGGGTTTATCTGAGGCCCCCAAGGACGACAAGCAGGATCCCCGCCTTTGAACCCACTGCTCCGTCCCACACCGCACTGCCTGGGTCCTACATCAGAGCCCAGGCTTCAAAGGAAGCCGGTGGGAGTGAGAAGTGCAGTGAAGTGGGGACAGTGCAAGCTCAGTAACGTAGCAGTGGATGTAAGAGTCGAGGTTGGCGGGGGGTGGGCGACGGGAAGTTGTGGGAGGTGGTGGGTTAGTCCTTACGTTAATGTGAGACACCATCATTGTTCGCTGCTCTCCGTAAAAAATCAAGTGTCTTAACCAGGTAGACAGGTTTTATTTTTCAGGCCTCAGTCTGAGAGTGAGCTGTCCCAGGGTGATGGGCTTCCTCCAATCAATTGGTTTAAAAACCTTGATCTTCCTCAGAAGCCGAGCCCCACAGATGCCCTTGTCAAAAGCATCGTTTGTTCCAGGGCCATCATGGCCTTGAAATTGTCCCTGACCACATGTGGTTTGATTACAATCACTGCCAGTGCTGCCCATTGGAAATATAACACAAGCCACATAGATTATTTATTTGTTTTAAATATATGCTTACTGATTTCAGAGAAAGGGAGAGGGAGATAGAAACATCGATGATGAGAGATGAGAGAGAATCATCAATTGGCTGCCTCCTGCACCCACTGGGGACCAAGCCCAAAACCCAGGCACGTGCCCTGACCAGGAAACGAGCCTTAACCTCCCTGTTCCTGGGGCTCGACCACTGAGCCACACCGGCCAGGCCAGATAGACCATTTTAAATTCATGGATGCTGCCACGAGTGCTTCCGGCCTCTGCAGGCCGCCCCCTAGAAGGTGGGTCTGGTGTCGACTGGAACTAGCCGTGCTTCCCCTAAACCCCATCCAGGCAGCAAGGGTTTGATGAAAACGGTGAAAATTCTTAGGCGCCGTGGTTGCTCACACAGGAAGATTTCGCAGCTTCTTTTCCCTCTGGAGCAGGAGCCGGTATGTGTGGTGGCTTCACAAAGGCTCTGCCTCAAGGCAGAGGAGAGAGCCATGAGCTGAGGTCTCTTCTAGTCTCGGGATTCTGTGATTCGGCGTTTCCATGATCTCAAACACGCTCTTGCTTCTTTCCTTCTCTCCAGGTGGATGACATAAGTGCCGCTGTGATGGACTTGAAAGAGAAGAAGATCCGCAGTCTAAGTGACGAGGCCAAGATCGGGGCCCACGGAAAACCCGTCATCTTCCTGCACCCCAAGGACTGCGGGGGCGTCCTGGTGGAGCTGGAGCAGGCCTGATGCGTGTGAGAAGCTGCGATGGTGGCCGGGAAGCTCCTCAGGGTACTTGGGCTTCGAATCCTTCACTCCTTCGGTCACTTCCAAGTTAAAAACCAGATTACAGAATGAGATTCAAAAAATTACATATACGTGTGTATATATACAGTGTGTGTCCCCAAAAATGTATACACCCTTGGAATAATTATGAATTCCAATGGGTTAAATCTGAAAAGAAAGACACATCAAATGAGCGTCAGCTAAGTGTATCTACATTTTTTGGGGACACACACACTGTGTGTGTGTGTGTATGTGTGTATTTGATTTGGAGAACATTTTGATCACTGAATGCCTAAGGAATATTGTTAAAATCATATTCATAGAAATAAATTCTTCCTGTTCTACAATGGGGTCATTTCGGACAGTGCACTCGCTGTGTGAAAGGGTGTGTGAGAGAGAGAGAGAGAGAGAGAGAGAGAGAGAGAGAGAGAGAGAGATGAGGCGGGATGGGGACACAAAGGAGGTGTGGCCTCAGATGTTTGGCTTTTCTGGAACAACTCATGCTCACAAGCCCCTCGGGTCAGGTGTTTGGGGTGCTAAGTCCTATCCGTACCAGTAGGAAGGTCTGTGGGGAACTGGGTGTGTGAGCTCGGCTGCACAGTTGGATGCTGCATTTTTAAAAATCGGTGGTAGTGGAGAGGGCATGAGTTTGTAGAGGTGGCTGTCATTCAGGTGCAGGGACACGGCAGCCCCTGAAGGGATGTGCAGAAGGACAGAACCCTTGCTGAGGCACTCACGGTCCAGGCGGGAAACGGCTTCGTGAAATAGATGTAAATCGCTACAAAGCAGCATGAACAAGTTGGAAAGGAAGTAAGCAGAGCTCTCAGAGGAGGCTTAGAGGCACAGCCTTTGGCCGGACTTTCTTCTTTTTTTAAAAAAATTCTTTATTCTTGAAAGTATTACAAATGTCCTCCTTACCCACCATTGTCCTCTCCCCGCCTGCCCTGCCCCCCAGCCCCGGCCTTCACCCCCACCCCCATTGTCTGTGTCCACTGGTTATGCTTCTCTGCATACAAGTTCTTTGGTTGATGTCTAACCCTCCCCCCGCCCCCCCCCCCCGCCCTCCCCCGCCTTAAACTAGTATCAAATGACTTTGCAGAATCTCGGATGGATGCATAGAATGAGTGCATGGTGTATGGGAAAGTGTTAACATCTTATAACTCAAGGATAATTGGATGCTGAGTAGAGAAGGAGGTATGTACACATTGAGCCTGCTGTTAGGGGAGACAAGTGTAGCATTGAGTTGTTATTTAAAAGTTAAAAGCAATGCCCTAGCCTGGTCCCGGGTTCGATTCTGGTCAAGGGCACATACAAGGATCAACCAATGAATGCATAGATATGTGGAACAAAAAATCTCTCTCTCTTCGCCCCTTCCCTCCCTTCCTCTCTCTTTCTCTCTAAAATCAGTTCTTTTGAAAAAGGTGAACTGAGAAGTGTCTGGCCTTGTATGTCTTCTTTGCGTGGATAACCACGGTCAGCTCGCAGTGACAGAAAGAACAGGTTTCTGTGTCTCAAGGTGACCTACGGAGGTGACCCGGGTCCCCGCAGCCACGGGGTCTGAGTGTGTGGGTGGCGCCACCCTGCCGGGTTCAGAGCCAGAACAGCTGTGAGTCCTGTGCCCTCAGCCTGGGACGAGTGTTTCCTACGCTTATTGTGTGCAGAACGCTACCTCTCGGCTTTAATTCACATCTTAGTTGTTAAAGAGCCAAAACATATCCTGCACCTTTATCCGTGGACAGAACTGGCTTGTGTGAGAGGAAGGCTGCCAAACGCGCCTCCTGAGAACTTGAGATAAGGCGCGTCGGGCTGCCCTTGGCCGGGCGCACAGGCCGAGTCCGCAGGCGGTGGGTGGATAAGCCGCGAGGTGGTTTCAGGTGCATGACGAGGCGGACATCCCCCAGCCCCTCGAGGTGATCGGAATAGAGATCTGAGCTCAGGGGAAAACAGGCGCGGAACGGTCATTTGCTAATGAAAAGTGCAATTGTTTGCAACAAGGCTATGAACATAACACGGGCGATTGGGAACCAAGGAAAGGGATGCCCAGGGAGCTGGTCTTCCCCCCCCCCAGCTATGGTGCTGGCCTGGGGTTGGTTGGCTGCTGTGGCTGAGCATGAAATTAATTCCTGTTGTTGTCATTCCCGTTCCTCAAACATGGAAGGCCCAGCTTATCGTAAGGGCAAGAAGCTAATGGTTCTCATGGCAACAGTGGGAAACACACTTGAACTTCCCCCACAGCCCTGCCTCATCTTTCTTCAAGTTGCACAGCAGAGACTGAAGTTG